ATGGAGGAACTGGAAAGGGCGGGACTCGCCGCTCCTTCACCTGTGTGCGATGTGTGTAGCGAAGCACTTCGGGGTGGAAGGAGGGTCCGCCCCTTCCTGAAGAACTGTCGCTGCTGTCGTCGACGCCCGTAGTAGGCGTTGGTACCGGTCGAGGAGCTGCGACAGGTAGCCCCTCATAAGGGGAGTCCCAGCGCTCCCGCGACGTACAATGCGGATTCGCAGCGATGTTTCGCGAAGCTCTTCAACTTCCCGCTGACGCAGTCCACGGCCCTCCGTCACGCACGCCACCCGCCAGGTTTCCAGAAGGTGGTCCCAGTTCGCTGGATCTGGCGTCACTCGAAGGAGAGACCGGCGCAAAACTTCCTTCAAGCGGTCGCGGCTCGTCAGGTCCCGCAGGACCTGGGAGTCCAAACGCCAGAAGCGTTGGTGCCCGGTCGAGGGAGCCAGACAGAGCTCCGCGAGCACTGGCCGGTGGTCTGAGATGTGACCGATGGCGGGTGAAGTCCACAGCCCCACAAGCTTGAACGGCTGAGGCCAGGGTCTCGGTGACGTAGACCCTGTCCAGGCGGCGGCTTGACCTACCACGTTGCCAGGTGTGCTCGAAAGTGGCACCGCGGAGAAGGATCCAGCAGTCCACCAAGTCGAAATGTCCAATCAGCCGTCTCAATTCGCGGGCGTTCTATGTACTGCGGCCGTACCCTGGTCCCCTGACGTCGCGCCGGGAGTCGACGACGCAGTTGAAATCTCCGAGTACCAGGCAGTGGCGCGCGTCGAGGACGTGAACATCCAAGTTCTTGTAGAATGCCGTGGAGTGCGGGTTGTGTCGGGGCGTAAACACACACGGTGCGAAAACGGGCGGCGTCCAGGAAAAAATAGAATGGGATGAATCGGCCATCGGTGTCAAAGCAGCACGAGCTTTGCCGCATGAGCGCGCGATTAAAATTATAATTCCTAACCCCGAGAACCGGGTAGTAACAAAGGAGCAAAAACAATCCACTGCATAACGCTGCTTGAAGACGGTGACGTCGTGTTGTCAAACGAAATTTGTCTCCTGGAGGAAGAGGAGGTCGCAACCGACAGTCCGGGCAAGCTGGAGAACCTCAACTTGTTTGGTCGCACTGCGGAACCCCTGGACATTCAGGGTGAGGACCCGTAGCAGTGCGAAGAGAAGGAAAATGAGTCACTGGCTCTTCGTTAATCCGAGGGTGTTTCGGACGATGGCTGGTTGCTGGGGCTTTCAGTGGGCGAAGAGAAGTCGTTCCGCAAACGCTTGAGGCGAGCTGCAGCGGGTGAGATGCCTTGCGGGGTCGCGAACTCGTCGCTGCTGGAAAGGACACGCTTCCCCTCCTCAGCAGCACCGTGTCGGCTGCGATTTCGATTGCGAAGTCTCCGCGGTTCCAGGCTTGCGTTGCGGCGTCGTTCTCGGTAAAGCGGTCTTGAGCGGGTTTCCAGTCCTTTGGCGGCGTCCCCGGCGGTCTGGTGGATGACGAGGCGTTCCTCGTCCGAGCCCTCCGTTAGGTCGCTCCAGTTGAGGCTCGGGCTGGACTGAAATTCCGGCGCAGTCGGGGACTCGAGTTGTATCGACGCTTCATCGGAGCGGGAGCTCGAGGGGAGTGGAACGCTGGTCTTAGCGTCGTTCAAGAATGTGGTTGCCGGTGCGTTCGAAAGCATGGCTGCTGGTGCGTTCGAATCTTCACCCGTGGCCATGGTGGTAGCCGGCGTTGGCTGCAGTGTCGTCGTATCGAGCTCAGGCGAGGTTGTCTCGGTGGACGGGGAGGGCGCGGTAGACTCGGTAGGGCCGACGGCGGGTGTCGGGGCGGGTGCGTTCGGCGCTGTAGGTGAAGGGGTGGCAGGGGGTCCATCCCGAGGGGTCGATGCCAGGGCCGGGAACTCGTCCAGGCTCTGGCCGGCCACGGACGAGTAGGTGCGACGTTGGGTGCAGTCGACCGTCGCGTGGGCCGCCCCGCAACGCCCGCAACCGGCCGCGCATCCGGCGGAGTCGTGGCCGAAAGCGGCGCAGCGGGTGCAGTAGGGCACATTGCAGGCCGCCTTGATGTGGCCCTCCCGCTGGCACCGTCGGCATACGCGTCGGAGGCCGCGGTGGTCCAAGGTTGCCCGATGGCCGGAGATGCGGAGGAAATTCGGCATCGGAGTCGACTCTTTCATATCCATGCGTATGTAGCGCGTGCCCGTCCCTAGGGTAGGGTGGTCTTGGTACACTCCAAACCGGATGTCCAGGACCTTCCCGTAGGGTGCGAGGGCAGCGGCGAGTGCTTCGCTCTTGACGTAGACCGGCAAGAAGAGGCATGTTTGTGACTTGCGTTCCGACGGGGACGATTGGAACGAGGGTTCCACCAATGCTCAGGGCGCCGGCGTTGACGATGCGGCTCATGGCCGACGACGGGGTGACGGAGAATTGGAAGTTGCTTGCTCCCAGGTGTTGTACAGAAAACAATTCGGCAGTGCCGACAATGCCCGTGGCCGCGTCGAAGATGGAATCCACAGACGCACCCCGCGGGCAGGAGACGCCGAAGGTCAGAGCCTTCGTTGGCTGAGGGGGAGACACCAGGTGCATGACGCACCTGAAGCAACCCCGGCCAGAGATGACCGGTCGGGGTTGTAGACGAAAAGAACATTGAACCGAGAACAGATAGAATCTGTCAACGTTGCCACTGAAATTGCCATCTCGGTCCAATCAAATCGTCGAAGCTTCCAGAGTGTCGTTCTAAACCAGTCGTGCCAAGATCACTATGGAGCATCATCGTACTGGGAGCGTTCCTCGCCAATAGGGAGTTTTCGTAGACCGCGTTGCCCCCTCCGCTAAGCGTTCCGTAGCGAAGAAGTTGCTACTGCGGCTGCGTGCCGAAAGCCTTGACTGTGGAGTTTCCGCTATCGTAGCGGGTTGCGGTGGGCCCTTGCGGGACGGCGAAAACGATTTACAAAAACTGCCTAATAGAAGCGTCTTTGGCACTGTGTATGCAATCAACTTATCAACCAAGCCCATCTTCACGGATCTCTTGCAATTATATTGTTTTTCTTGCGTATTTTAAAACAGTAAACGTATTTTTCAGTGCCTCCAAGCACCGACACAGCATATTGTGGTGTTACAAAGATGTACTTGTTTCGCAGGTGCGTGGAAACGTCTTCATAAAGCTACCCGTCACCAGCAAATTTAGATCGGCTCACAAAGAACGGAGGAGTCCAAGGAGAAATTGCTCATTTCACGGATCAAAATTTGCGACCATATGGGGAGCTTCGTGCTACTTTCCCAGTATCCAGTGACTTGTATTATGGGAAGGTGTGCCGTGTGGCGGCCGTCTGTGTCGCGATGTGCAAGCACGCCAGTGAGGGTGTAGTGGGACAGAGAGCGCCTCGATCTGTTTGCTTTCGTCTTTCAAGAGCGTGAAATGCGCCAGTGCACGAGGCTCGTGTGTCGAGTATTACTTGGAAGCAAATGGCGGCACAGCACTGAAATGAGCGGTCTAGTGCCACTAAATAAGCTATGCTTCAGATAAAACGACACTTGCCCGTATTGTGGCTTAAAATCCTAGTTGCCAGTTATCTGAAGCTTTATCTGAAATCACAGCAAACACTTCTCCGACCTCTACAAATGTTTAAACAGTTCGCAACAGAGCAAAACAATATTACATGAGCTTCCTAACACCGAATGTAATGCTGAGGAAGTCGCACTTTTTAATCATGACGATCGACGGTTTCGTCTGCCGTACACAAGAACCAAAATGGCGGCGCCCACTACAATGACGGGGAACAGAGTGCTGATTCTCTAAGTGCAGCTTACTTAGTTGCTCTAGAGCTCTCCTTGGAAGCGGATGGCGGCAGAGCACCGGCTCGTGGCAGGTGTCTTGCGCGTTTCCACAACGATGGTTGGCGGTAGTTGCAAAAAACGCTTCTAACAAGGGGCTTTAAAGCGCGGCCACCCGACGGCTGATGGAGGCCTGGCGGTCGGAGCAGAGATGCTTTATCGGGTGTGAAAATGGTCCTATTTTTTGTTTGTTTTTTTGTCTGCTCGGTTGTGAAAAAGAATATCTTCCATCCTACTTCATACCCCTGCGAAAAAGCGTGACTAGCGCAAGCGGTAGAAGTTTATAGTCAAAGCGCGAATGTCGTTTGGGAGCGGTGAATTACTGAATGATCCCGCTTCTCTAATTCTCTTTTTTTTCCCGTTTAGTTGCTATAGATCAATAATTGTTTATATAACCTTACTTGCCAGAATATCAAGAAAACGAATTTTGAGTGTGATATGATATGCAATGTTTCCTCGCCACTTTAGTGTCAAAGTTCTTTTAGTTATTTTTTCGGCAGCTGTACATTTTGAAGACCTTTAAATACCTAGTTTTTGTTGTGGTGTCAACACAACATTTTTGTTTAGAATAGTTCAACGAAACTAAGCTTTTCTTGCTGCCTTCTCTGTCAAAACTTATAGAGCAGGCCCCCCCCCCCCCCCCCCCCCCCCCTCCGCCGGCTTGCGTGACGAAGCATGTGCGTTGCTGTGCTATTCTTTTTGTTTTATTTCTGAGGCGCGTGCGTGATGACCTGTTTTTATGGCCATTTTTCGGGGACAACGCAGGCGGCTTTTCGCGTAATGGAACAATTGTAAGATGTTTGCCTTAAAACCCTGTACATCAAAAAATGGAATATCCGTAGGCATAACTCGCATTAGGTACTCGCTTCATTCTACCAGCGTAAGATAAATTTCCTAGTTATTTTTATTTCTTAGCTTGTCGTTTGATCGTCGTGCTTTGTAGATCGCAGTCATTTGGCATATGCATCACGCACTAAGCAGAAAAAAAACAATAGCTGCCTCAGGTCGCTAAAGCCTGCTACACTCCCACGATGAGTGTAGCAAACGCGGCATAGTGCAGCGCACACATACACTGATTTGTGACAGAAATCGAGTTTCTGCTCGTCGGCCAATGAAATGCGCACGTTCTGCGGTACGCTGCGTTCGCTGTGCTCAACATCGTACATGTCTTTCGCAGGGTTACAGCACAGCGTTCTCGTGTGTGGCCAACCGGGAGGGTTGCCGGTGAACTTTCAGATTCTTCCCCAGTACCTCAAAAATCTCGGCTACAGGACGCACATGGTTGGAAAAGTGAGTTCACCGAATTAACTAGAGTGCCCAGTTTTAAACTGCTTCTAACTGCTCAATCTGAGTCACGTGGTTCATGGGCTGCGTTCAGAATACAAGCTGCGAGGAGGAGACCAACGCGTCTATCGCTTGCGCAAATACTTTACAGGGAGAAGACGTTCTGCTTCGCTCATCTGTAACCGACAGCACGCTCAAAGCGCCATATCCTCCCCTAGCGGTAGGCACACCCCACGTTCAAGAGGACGCATGCGTAGCGCGCTGTCCACGAAGACGCGCTTTTGCGGTGCCTGGAGTGAGAGGGCTGCCAAGACGTACCGAGATACCGGATTCGCCAAGACAGCAGAGACGGCTGTCTCCGCTCTTTCAATTGGTCTCCGCTTTAATAGGTGGAGGCAACCACCCTGTCCCGATTTCGAGGAGAAAAACCCTAGTCTGCGCGTCCAACCTTCCAACTACCCAAAGCCTGTCGGCAACAAGGCCATTGTATTATTGCGGATTGAGATGCGTTTTCTTAGTAAAGTATTTCGTCCGCAATCATCTCCAAGTTTTGCTTTGTCTCTCCACCCGCTATCTTCCTTGCCACGTGGCAACTCACGCATGCGCACGAGCAACCACTCAGTGCAAAATGTTTCCGCCATTAAATTCCAATCTTGATGATTTGAGTGGCTCCCTAGAATAGACCATTTACCTGAATGCTATACAATGTAGAGTTATCCCATCCAGCGCGAAGCGTCTGATGAAACCAGAGTCCAGACCGTATGCTGACGTCGCGCAAGTGTCCAATACATGCTCAAATGGCATGCCCAAAGGAGGTTGTGCAAAACGTACAGCACCCTCCGCGGCGTTGAAAGGAATCCTGGGTCTGAAGCCACTCAGACGAGGGGGCCAAGGAAAGCCAACGGCCGGCCAGCACTGGCAGTAATCTGACAGGCGCGCAGTGGACCCCTTTCAGAACTCTGAGCCCTTTAGTGTCTCCGAGGTTGCATTGGAGACGAGTGCCACGTCAGCGTTCGATACGTACTCGGTTTCAAACTGCTCATTCCATTAACCAAGATGGCGACCATACGGGAGGCATGGTGCTACTTGACCAGGATCTAGCGACTTTCATCAGGGCCTACCTTACACCATTAAGTTCCCTGGCAAAACTTCGGTCGTGCTCCCCCCCCCCCCCCCCTCACCCCCAAGTTGTTAGTAGGCATAAACAGCGGCCCGATATGAGCGATTTCGCAGCTGGGAACTGTATTTCAAAAACGAACGGCGATCAAGCATATGGCGTCGTGTCGGGCGCTGTGTTCAAATAAATATAAAGCTAACATAAACTCAATAGAGGCGTTGCGGCTTCATTTATTGATGGCGCCCTGCGCGATCGCCCAAGTCTCCCACCCCTAATGCCGGTACCGGCTGTGATTTTGCGCAGTGGCACCTGGGCTACTACAAGAAAGCGTACACGCCCACGGAGCGAGGTTTCGAGAGCTTTTACGGCTACTACAATTTCGGTGAAGACTACTACGACCACACCCTGGACCTGGTAGGTGTAAATAATATATAGGGGAAATATATTCTGGCACAGCAGGTGCAATACGTTGGAGATCACGTTAGGATAATCGCGAATCAGGCTAGTGGGTTTCATTACATCTTAAGGGTAAACCGTAAAATTAAAAAAAAAGGAGAAGGAAGCATAAGTTTGCGACTATGGCATTGCGTTTTTTTCTAACACTCCAGTTTTTCCTCGTTTTTGTTGTGTTTTACTTTTAAGACGCACTAAAGTTTTCCTGTAAAAAACAAAACAAAAAGTAGGCTTTTGCGCATGCACATAAGCCAGTTTTATTATTTTATTTTCATGCACGCGCTGTGAACATGATGTAAGAAATAGGCTGGTGTATATATTTGTCGAGTACGCTTCTTGAAATGCTTGATCCCTTCACGCAAGTGAGCTGCTTGATATCTTAAAGAACAAGCTCCTAAGCACACGCTTGTATATAAAAAAATAAGTTGATGTATATAATTGCCTACGTACGTTACTTAAGTCTATGGAAATACTTGATCCCTTCGCTTTAAGTGCTTGAGATACTTGCTTTCTTAAAAGAAGACTTGTGAGCATGCACAGTGCAGGAATGCAGTGGCGGACTTGTGGTCAGGTTTGGCGGGGTGGGGTGGCAGGCACTTAGTTGGCGGAGGGAGGGGGCTGGGGGGTTTGCAGAGAGATGACATAGAGGGCAAAAAGATGCCCAGGTTCATTTTTTTAAACCAATATTTGCTATGTCACAAAAAACTAACCATTTGGCTGTTTTACAACAATGTTTATTAAAAAACTGGACCTTAAGGGCTTAGGAAGGCGGTCGCCTCCCCCCACCCCACACACACACACACACACTCAAATAAGTCACGACAGGGTGAGCATGCTCCTGCTATAAAAAATAGGTATGTGTGTATAATTGCCTTCGTACCTTACCTGAGATACTCGAAATGTTTGATCCCTACGCTTGAATTGCAGAATTTAATTCTAAAGACATTTTGAGACTAATGTTGTCAAAGAAACTCTGTTCCACTTCTTTATTATACTGCTGAGTGTGCCATGTAAAAATTACCCTCCAATATTTATTGCTAAAGAGAAAAACGTGAATGCCGCAATAATATTTACTGATTAATTATCTAAGTAAATCATAAGTCTATGGCTTAATATCTTGAACTTGAGTTTCCAAGAGCACTAAGAATATGTTAGTAAAGCCACCTCTGAGCATGTATTTAAGACTTTTCGTTCATAAATGAAGAAGTATTTTGTTTTTAAGAAATGTAGAACCCTTTTGCTTTTTTTTTAGAAAAAAGAAACATTTACTGATTAAAAAACATTTATTAAATAAAAAAAAAAAAACATTTTCAGCTACCCAAACTAAATGCATTTTCGTAGTACCCAGAATATTTCTGTTGCCCGCATACCATTTAATCTCTAAATTCAAAATTGCTATTCAGAATACGGCAATAAAAATTGATGTCAAAACCAACATTCAAACTTTTTACGCGCTTTCAAGTTGTGTGACGTCACGTGTTAAAAAAACTTGCAAGTCAAGCAGGCAATCTAAAAAACACGTAATTTTCGAACACATTTTTGTTTTACTGTGGTGATTTTAAACAGCATTCATTTGACACGCACTCAAAATTTATTTCACACCCCCCCGGCATCTTGTAACCCGTCGAGAACAAGTTGGACTGCCTCCCCCCTTCCCCCCCCTTCCCCATGTGGCCTCATATGACATCTGACGCCACGTTTTCATGGTTGCCAGTAGAGCCCCTCCCAGACCAGCCATACATATTCTAAACTTTTCGGGAAAAAGTTATTGGAACTTGCAATCTTAGTTACTGTTTATACCTGTATATTCACCTGTTGAACAAATTTTGAGGCCAATCCGAAACTTAAAGATTAGCCTTTTAAAGCGGGGCTCCGGCAAAACATTGAGCAACATTTTTCTATCGTTAATGGCCCGGTGTTCGTGACTCGAGGCCAAAAAACAAGTTTCTAATATTGTAATGTACCAAATCGAAAATGAAATTAAATTCGGAAAACACGTTTCCTTCCGGATAACCAACAAAACAGCCATGGGAATTCGTTCCTGATATTTGCGGCTTACCGATTTCCGGAGTTTACAAATAGCTTAATCTTACCCTTTCTAAAAAACTCCGTCGGGATACTCATATTGATAATATTTGTTCATCCGCATTTTGTGAAGTTGGTTTCTTTAGGCATAAACTTATGAAATCACGATCACATATAATACTTCTGGATTATCACATCTTTGTTGAATTGAAACTTGAATATGTGAGCGGCGATTAGGATTTGTTGACAAAAAGAAAAACTTTTCAAATCTGGAAATGGTCCAAAGAGTGCGGTTAGGTTTGTTTACGAAAATTCTAAAAGGCTGGACTCACTATCTCTTCTAATGCAAACAATTGAAAGTATGACGATCCTTTGTGTTGGTCATTGATCACGAACCGCTGCAAACCATTCTTGGTCCAAAGATGGGAATTCCGAGCATTGCTGCCGCACGTCCGCAGAGGTGTCTATTACTCTCTCCGCCTCTCAGTACCGATTGGTTTACCGACCAGGTCGACTCAACGTGGAGGTGGACTGCTTGTCACGACTTCCAGTTCCTGGGTTCCAGGTTAAAGACTGCAAGTATAACGTCGCGGCGTTCCTCAGTCTTCGCCTGCAGTCCTTCCCGCTAAGCGGCCAAGAGATCGCACAGTTTACAGCGAAAGATAAAGAGCTCTGTCAACTGGCAAGGTTCCTCGCCGGTGCGTGGCCCGCAAAGGTAGAGGATTGTCTAAAGCGTTACTTTGCTACAAGAAACGAGCTGACGTGGCACCAGAACTGCCTTTTGTGGGGAATGAGGGTGGTGATCCCGCGGGACTGCGCGAACGCGTACTGGAAGAGCTTCATGAAGGGCATCCTTGAATTGTAAGGATGAAAGAACTGGCACGCAGTTATGTATGATGGCCTGAGGTCGGTACGGATATTGAATATCGCGTCAGGTCGTGTGACACCTGCCAACAGCGCAGCAGAGTCTTCCAGGTCTAGCCCCGCTTCATCTCCCTGGTCCTGGCCAACTCGTCCGTGGCAAAGGCTGCACTTGGATTTTGCGGGACCTTTCCAATGCCGTCATTTTTTGGTGAGCGTCGACTCCCACTCCAAGTGGCCCGAGGTTTTTGTGATGAACAGCAAATTGGCCGGAGCAGCTATTGAAAAGCTGAGGGAGCTGTTTAGTCATTTCGGTCTGCCAGATGTTGTTGTCAGTGACAATGGCCCCCAATTTTGTTCTCGAGAATTTCAGAATTTTTTTGCGAGAGAACTGTATAAGGCTTGTCAGGACCGCCCCCTACCATCCGTCAAGTAATAGGCTGACTGAGCGCTTCATTCGCACCCTGAAGAAGGCCTTACGAAAAGAAATGCCGGGCCGGCCTCTGTCCCGTCGACTAGCAAGTTTCGTGTCAGCTCACAGGAACACACCGCACGCCACAACCCTTCAGAGTCATGCGGAGTTGCTGCTTGGGCGGCGGCTCACCACCCGTCTGGACAGACTGCGACCCTCTCTAGAGGAAACTGCTCACCGCAAGCAGGACCTGCTACAGGTGAAGAACGGTGGCAAGCACCGGCACTTCGAGTCTGGTGACAAGGTGTACGTCAAGAACTTCCGGCCGGGTGAGAGGTGGTTGCACGGAGTCGTCATGGCTAGATCGGGACCTGTCTCCTGCAGGCTTCGCGTGACCACACCGCGGGGCACCTTCGTGTGGCGGCGACACCAAGATCACCTGCGGTTGTGGGAGATCTCTACCCCAGAGGCGGAGAAAGGGGGTTTGCTGATACCGAGTGTCCTGCCATCATCGACAACCCCAGTGCAAGGGGGACTCGTGAACGGGCTGCCTCCAGTTCGGATAGCTGTGGCAGAGTGACAAGACAAGGGATCAGCACCTGTCTCCGGTCCTCCCCCAGCCCAACCGCAAAAAACACAGCGCCGGTATCCCGAACGGCAACGGTGTGCGCCCGATAGGGTTGCGTTTTAAGAAGGAAAGGGGAAAAAAACCAGGACTTTAATTGTTCAGAACTTTAATTGCTTCTCCTGTTTGTACTTCGTACTTTTTCAGAGCTTCAATTATTCTCGTTTTTTTGTTAAATTGCCATATCGTGTTAATTTGTGAGTATTGTACTGGAATGCCATTCGAAGAGTATTACTATGCTGAACTAAGTGTGGGAGAGTGATGTATGGGCGATACAATAAGCGGGCAACAGCGAGCGCGCGCTCGTGCGTCTCGCGGTACAGTTCCTGGGCGCCATAGCTATCTGAACCAGCGTACCGTTTGCACCACCCGCTGCTGCCCTGCCGCTCTCTCACACCCGTGGCCATGTGTCGTACTCCGGCAGTCCTGCAATAAAGATGTTCCAGCGAAGAACCCCATCGGTCTGCTACTCCAGATACTACAAAACAGTCAACGGTGGACGGCGACAGTGCAAGTTGGCGAGGTGCCAATCGTCTTCAAGGTCGACACTGGCGCCGACGTGACAGTCATTCCGACAGAGGCGCACAAAGCGTCTTTCTCAGCGACATCCCTGCAGAGGCCCACTAACATCCTAGAGGGTACCGGTTCCCATGAACTAGACGTGCTGGGAATGATCACGAAGGACATGACCTACAGAACAATTTCGACAAGAGCGGACCTGTACGTTGTTAACGACTTGGATGAAGCTCTTCTTTCAAGAGATGCCAGTGAGAAGCTGGGAATCATCCGAAAGGTCTTCGACGTTGCGAATTTACGCGCTGGAGACGTCAAGCCGGAAAGTGAGTTTCCGAAACTTTTTTTCTGGGCAGGGACACGTGAAAGAAGCTTAAAAAATTGAGCTACGAGACGCCGCAGTTCCTTTTGCACTGATGACGCCTCGGAGAGTAGCCATTCTTTTGCTAGGCAAGACGAAGGAGAAGCTCGAGGAAATGGTCAAGATGCAAGTAATAGAACCCGTGGAAGAGCCAACAGAGTGGT